GCTTGTTTCAAGTAAACCACCGTCCTCTCTTAACTGTAGTTCACGTTGCCGTGTTGTACTTAGAGCTGGCTGAAGAATCAAATTAGGGCTCTCGTCTTTGTACGACGTAAGCAATGGGAATGTACAGAATATCAGCTATATTAAAATAGTACATCTGTTAATCAACATTTGAAATAAGGTCTCTTCACAGAAATGGAACCATTTTAGATTTTTTTCCCCCAAAGATCACACTTCATTATTCTCTGACTCGTTCAATCACTTCTACGAATGCTTCGTGAAAAGAAGTTTATTGTGGATGCACATAAAAAAAAACTGTTATTTACACGATCTTCACATATGGCAGAAATATTTTTAGTGTGAACATTCAGTAAATGTGGGAGAACTTGGTAACAGATGAAGGAGTACAGAGGTTTTTATCATGTTTTCTCAGACACAGATGGGTTAGAAGAGTTATTTTTCAAATAAAGGCTTCTTATTAAACCACGAGGGTCTCTTCCTTTCTTTTTCATTTGCTGGTTTTCTTTCAGTTCAATGAAAAAAAAACAAAAAAACAAAAACACAAATGTTACTTTAACAGAAACACTGAAAGGAACCCATGAGGTAAATGTATCTTATTGAAAAGCTTGTGTTTTTTGGATTGAAGTTAATTTGATCCTTCTTTGGCCAAAAGAAAAAAAAAAAAGCATCAGCTGTGTCCTCAGTGGCTTACGTTCATCTCACTTTCCTCATCTTCATCTGCAGAGAAGGCAGAAAAGCTGATTGGCTCACAGTGAAGAGTGCGTAAATTGACGAGGCACGCCATCTGTGTGCTGCTGAATTCTGGAACGGTAACCAAAAGGACTTCCTGGCCATCCGGACCTGGCGGGATGAGAATACGAGCAGCAACAGTTAATTATTTATTACACATTAGTCTGTGTGAATAGTACATTTGTATCTTAAAACAGATCATATGATAACATCCACAAAGTTTCTTCTGTTTACATGTAAATGGCATGCACTAACCTTTGATGAGCTTGGAGTCAAAAGTAGGGGCATTGCCACTGAAGTAAACATGGGGACACTCTTCCAGGATGAAAGGGTCTTTTTGGTAAAATGGGTAACAACCTGAGCAATTCAGAGAAAATCTTGTCAATAAACCAATAGTGTGTTTAGATTTACCAGAGGCTCTGCATGTTATTCTGTATCAACTAACCTAATGTGTCAGGTGCCGTCGGGGCCAGATGTCGGAGTCGAAGCGTTTCCTCTAATATTTCCAAGTGGCTGTCCCTGCTGCTGTACCTCTGAATGTCACAGACGTTCTGCCCTGATGTACCGAGGAACCTTCAAGGAAACAAGCAAATACATGTAAACCTAAACATATTTGCACCTAGAAGTGAATATTAAAGTGGATATGAGGCATAAATGGAGCCCTGCTCTGAAAAACTGACATAGGCTAAGTGCGTCTGTGAAGTTGGATTTAAGAAATAGTGCTAAACACGTTGAAAATTTAAACTGTAAGCACTTATTTTTCAAATCCAGCTACACAAACAGAGTTATATCCATGTTAGTTTTTGAGAGCAGGGCTCTATGGTGTAAATTAGCCTGTATACTTGTAGTGTTTCATGCCCACTGTAACAACATGTGTGACGCTGCTTACCTCACTCCGTCTATGCTGGCGTGGTATGGATTGGATGCCAGCTGTAGTGTGGGGTAAACGGACGACAAGGGGAACATGCATCGGTGGAGAGGCTGCTGTGGGAGGGTGTAGTTGGTGGGGTCGTACTGGCCAGGCATTACATCCACAGGAACCGAGGCCTTAATCAGCAGGAGACAGTAATGTGTAGCAAAAGAAAAAAAACAAAACAGTAGAGTTGTTTAGACGGTAATAATCTGTGCTTTTCCTCTTTTCCTCCAGTCCAGTTTATCCACCATCACCCTTCTGCACATGCCCAAACCACCTCAGCCTGTCTCTCTAACTTAGTGTCCAAACCGCTCAACCTGAGCTGTAACTCTGATAAATTCATTTCTAGTCCTGTCCATCCTGCCCACTCTCCATGAAACTCTGAGCATCTTCAACTCTGCCTCCTCCAGGCTCAACATCCTGTCTTTTTGTCAGCACCACCCTCTCCATACAATACATCATATATTACAGCATGTCCAGCTCGTCTACCTGCTCTTCTTCACCTCTCTAGTGTAGTCTTTATGAGGCTGCTACGATTTATTATAATCAATGACGTCAACAATTAAAATTTAGCGACATGTAATTTTATTGTCGACGTGTCACATTCTAATACCACGTAAATCTGTTTTTTTAAATGCAATACACTACAGGGGGCCATGGGGGCAGTATCCCCTATTTCGTCTGCCAAGACTGAACTCAATACTAAAGAAGAAGAAAGTAGTGCTAACTGCAAAGCAGGACAGAAGAAAATGGAAACGGGGATTTAAAAAAAAAAAATGTGAAAGAATTTCACAGAAAACAAATAAAGTAAATGCAGACTGTGCAAAGCGGAGCTTTCCTTCCAATTTGCTGTGGGACGAGATAACAGGGTGATATTCACTGGTGGGCAGATGAGATACTGGAGCCCAGAACAGGTGGTTTGCCCACAGGAAACGGAGATAAGAGTTATTGAAATAATCATGGACTAATCGACTAAAAAAGATTAGTTGACTACCAAATTATCTTTAGATGTAGCCCTAACTCCTTGCTTTGGATGGTTGACCCCAGGTACTTAAACTCATCCACCTTCTCTACCTCTGCTTCTTACACCTTCGCCTTCAAACCCGTCTCCCAGTCATTCACACACACACATGTATTCTGTTTCGATTCGACTGACTTTCCTCCACCTCCCCAGCTCCTCCACCACCTGCTCCTTACTCTTACTACAGATCGCAGTGTTGCCTAACTATATCATACTCCATGGAGATTCGATTCGTGCCCGAACTCATATGTCAGCCTGTCACCACTGCAAAAAACTAAGGGTTCAAAGGCAATCCCTGGTTTAATCCCATCCCCATCTATCATTCCTTCCACACTTTCTCATACAGTATCACAGGTCCTCCCTTGGCTCTCTTGGATGTTATGAATCATAACATAAACATTTATCATTAAAGTAAACTGTGTCAAAATCTTCAGACTTACCACCAGCTGAAGCAACAACTCATCTAGCAAACGAATGGCATCCACACTGCCAGCTTGAGTCTTCTTAGTAAGATACTTGGCCTGGGGAAAAAAAACAAAACAAAACAGAGAAAGGGTAAAATATTTATTTTTATGTTTTAAGTAAACCAGTTCACATGAGTGACTTGGGAGGAACGTGACTATATGACAAGGTTCAAACCATTTTCTCACCTTTGTTGATGCATCCTTGTCTTGAGTGTTTTGACTCAGGAGGTTTCCCGCCAGCAGAACCCTGGAAATTGTTGCTGCACCACTCTGCTCCCCAAGGTCACCGAGCTGACCAGTTACCATGTCGACAAGCAACTGTAGGCCCAGCATGCTGTCAGCATGAGTACTGCCAAGACCCAGACCTGATGCCAGGAGCACAAACCTGTATGAAGGCAGGCAAAGCAATTAATGTTGTTTATCACTACAGGCAGGGATTTACACCAATTAGATGTGTTTTCATACCTGTCAGAGTCAAGTGCAGGCCTTGCTTTCTGCAAAGGAAGATCCGCTGTGCAAAAGTCCTCAACTGTGAACTTCCCATCGTTCCTCTCAGCACCATATACTGCAATGACGCTGCCTAAGAAAGACAACAAGAAACACCTACATCAGACTCATACGTCCACAGCTCATGTGATGCTGACATCCTGAAAAACTACCAACCTGTGACACACTTGTCTTTGTCAATTTTCCCCTCTAGTTTAATCCTCTGCAGTTCATCCTCCAGAATCAACTCATCTGATTCATGAATGTATTTTGCTCGTGCAGGCTGGGGCAGGAGGTTGTGCTGGAGAGCAAGGAAAAAGAAAGTTGTTAAAGTACAATTCAGTAGCTGCTTTCAATGTGTGGGGTGAATTTAGCACTACTTCCAACCTCCTCACTGATTTCTTTCAGAATAGATGGCTGCAAGTCCATACGCTTGAACAGAGTCCCTACAATGCAACACTGCTCCGCTGTTTCTAGATCACACAGCTTCTTGATAACCACATCTGATCCTGACAGATACAGAACAGAAAAAAAAAACAGATTAAGAAATAGAAATCAAATGTTTCAGTGTCCCTGATGTAGGTAGGTAAGATTGCTCTGAGCTTACCCCACTTCTGCTGAGCTCTCTCTGACAGCAGAGGCCTCATCTGCATGAGTCGTGCTGCGTAAATGTGAGCATACTGGCGGCTGAAGCTCCGCTCCCCAACTCTGTAGCGTTCAGAGCACTGACTATAAGCCAGAGACGTCCTCTCAAACACCGGGCCCTGGTCCTCCGAGGCAGGACGGCAGAGCAGAGAGGAGCCCTCCTTCTGTACACTTAGGTCTGAGAACATGACCGTCCTGAATAAAAGAAATGGGTCTATTTTAGATTTCAAAGGCTATCAATTTAAAGCTTGCTTACAAGTGCAAGTAAAGTTGTCTGGGTTTTTCCTAAACACCCCGACTTTTCATGAGAATACCCTGAAAATTAATATAATATGACAGATATAACGACCTTACCGAAGAAAATAGACGTTTGCACTTCAGTTGCTACTCCTCTGAGATCAAGTGTGTTGATATTTTCAGATATCGACGATTATTTTCAGTAGCTTGCGAGCAACAGGAATAATTCCCGCGAAATCACCCGCTCACCGGTGACAGTCTCTATGTACGAGGGCAAACTATCGCGAGAAGTAAGAAAACATTTAAAAAAAGTCAAACATCTAAAGCACCCGTAGTAAGGAACAAAACATATATACAACACATTTTAAGCAGCCTTGTTATTTTTATACACTTACATTTTACATATTTTTTTAAAATAACTGCATCGTTTTTGTTTTATTGTTGTTTTTTCTCGTACCGTCGCACATAAACTACGTCGCCGATGTCGCAACGAATTGAGGTCACAATAGCGTAGCGCGTACCTTCGCCATTTTCACAGCTCTTTGTGCGCTACCGTTTGCAAAGAGTTTCTGTGTTTTTAACAAGCCATTTGCTACTTCAGATTTTAAATCCATTGCGAGAATGCAAGGAAACAGAGGCCCCCAGCAGAACCGCGGCCCAAACCGCCCGGGAGAGCAGCTGAAAAGCGAAGGAACAAACAGCAACGGGCAGCAGCCAGATCCCAACGAGCAGACCAACCCCAACGAGGCCTTAACCCTGGACCTGCAGAGCTTCAGAAAGCCCGGGGAAAAGACCTTTACCCAGCGGAGCAGGCTGTTTGTAGGTAATTTACCAACGGGTGTTACCGAGGAGGACCTGGAGAAGCTGTTCACCAAGTATGGAAAAGCCAGCGAGATATTTATTAACAAGGAAAGAGGCTTCGGCTTCATTAGGCTCGAAACGAGAATCATAGCAGAGATTGCCAGAGCCGAGCTAGATGATACCCCCTTCAGAGGCAGGCCCATACGGGTGAGGTTTGCGACACACGGAGCTGCTTTAACTGTGAAGAATCTGCCAGAGTTTGCGTCCAACGAGCTCCTGGAGGAGGCCTTCGCAGTCTTTGGCCAGATAGAAAGAGCTGTGGTCATAGTGGATGACCGAGGGAGACCTACGGGGAAGGGCATAGTGGAGTTCACCTCAAAGCCAGCTGCAAGAAAGGCTTTGGATAAGTGCTCTGATGGTGCTTATCTTCTGACAGCTTTCCCCCGGCCTGTTACAGTGGAGCCTATGGAACAGTTTGATGAAGAGGAGGGACTGCCAGAAAAGTTGGTCAACAAAAACCAGCAGTATCACAAAGAGCGTGAGCAGCCGCCACGATTCGCTCAGCCCGGCTCCTTCGAGTATGAGTATGCCATGCGATGGAAGGCCCTGATGGAGATGGAGAAGCAGCAGTATGAGATGGTGGACCGCAACATGAAAGAGGCGCAGGAGAAGCTGGAGGCTGAGATGGAGGCAGCCAGACACGAGCATCAGGTGATGCTGATGAGGCAGGACCTCCTGAGGCGGCAGGAAGAGCTGCGAAGGATGGAGGAGCTCCACAATCAGGAAGTGCAGAAGAGGAAACAAGCCGAGCTCCGACAGGAGGAGGAACGCCGCAGGAGAGAGGAGGAGATGAGGCTGCGCAATGAGGAGATTATGAAGAGGCAGCAGGAGGGCTTCAGGGGCAACTTCTCTGAGAACAGGGAGCAAGACATGAGGATGCATATGGGTGGTCATGGGATGCCCATGAACAGAAACTCTCTGGGGGGCAGCTCTGGTCCAGCTGGTACTCCTGGCTTGGCTGCAGAGAATTCACCAATGTTGCCAGGGCCAGGAAACAACAGCATGCCTGGAGGTGGTCAGGGTGGCTTCCCCAGAGGCCTCCCCGGCCCTGGAGATTATGGACCTCCCAATAAACAACGCAGATTTTGAATTGCAAGCTTAATTTCCCCCCCCCCCCCCTTCCTTTTCATACTCACTGTACTTTTAAGTTCGGCTAGTGTTAACTTTTGAACTTGGAAAACTGCATGTCATTTTTTTTGTACCTGCCTATTTGTACTTTTGATTATTTTTAGTTCTGAAATGTAAAAACTCCAAAATGAGCCATGTGTTTTACTTTACTTCTCACATTAATGTATTTTCATAGGGGTAGAAAGGGCTTTTGTCCTGGTTATGATAACTTTTCTGGAATAAATTCCTGATTCCCTAAATAAAGGCTTTGGTTTATTCAGAGTAGAATCACCTCAGCAAGCTCAGGACTGCACACAATAGTGACTTTTGTCTGCACAGTAGTGTGAGTAGTATTGTCACTAACAAAGTAAAGAGTGGCATTTCTGGCACTCAATATTGATTATTGGTCATCTGTGCCTGATTTATTAATTACCAAAAAGTGAAATGCAAATGTCAGCAATTTATAGCAAGTACGTCTTATCACAGCTTTGAAGCTCCATAAACCTGAGTCTTACTGATAGGTTGCAGTTAAATATTAAGCGAGAAACATGGGCTTTTGCACGGTCGTTTTTCTGCTTTATTTTGATAACTAGGGGGAAAAAATGCCTCACACATATTGAGAACTTCTTGCATGTTTTGCTGAATACCCAAATCTGGCTTCCCACTGATAGTGGAAACGGTAATGTCACAGTCATTGACAGATTTCAGTTGGTGTTTTTTAATTGTTTATAGTGGTAATTCACATCAAGTAGTCTCAAGACGTTTTATATAGCAAGGTAAAGACCCTTCAGTATAAGAGAAAACCCTGATGAGGTGATGATCCCCTATGAGGAAGCATGTTGGGGGAGCACAGAGAGACAAATCTTCAGAGAGAGAGAAGATAGAAGTCATAGACTTGTAGTAGCAGCCTATAAATACCTGGAGAGTGAGGGGGGGGGGGAAGGTGAGTAGAGAAGAAATGCTCAGTGCATCCTGGGAGGTCCCCAAGCATCCTGACAGCAGCTCAACTAAGAGATGTTCATCTTGGTAGAGTCAGCGCTGCCAGGCTCCTCTCATGGGCACGCATTTCAGATTTGATTGAACCAGATTATAATTAATACTTTGTTAGTGAGGGGAAGCATTTTAAATTCAACTCTAGATTGACCAGAGAGCCAGCGAGGAGAAGCTGATACAGGAGAAATACGATGTCTATTTTTAGCCTCTGTTAGTCTTGTGGGTGCAGCGCGTTTTTGATCAGTTCAAGGCTTTACAGTTACAACAGCCTCCTCGCTGAAAACAGGAATAATAAATGTAAAAAAGTGGTTTATGTTATGTTCATGTTTCAGATAGATAAGAGTTCCAAAAGGCGTTTTCCGCTTCAATAACAGGCGCTTTTCATCACCGCTACAGCTAACGTAGTCAACTGGTTTCCATGATCAGACAGCTGGTTATGAGACAACCTTAGCGACAACATTCAGTGGTATAAATCTCAAAAGTAAACGCAGCGATTATGTTATTATGTTATGTGTGAGTTAGGTTCACCCGACCTGATTTTTGCAGCGCTATAATACATATAATTTATACAGTATACAGTGTACAGTTACCTCGACGCAGTGTTGGTGCACTAATGATCCACCTGCAGATTACGCTACTGGCGCTCTTTGTCTCTCTGCTCTCAAACTCGCCATCTAACACAGGTTAGCCTCGCAGATGTGAAGGTAATGTGAAGGCGTATCCTCACCCCTTGTGCAGGCTGCCGCTCCCTGAGCCTGCTTGTTCTGGAGGTTTCTTCTTGTTAAATGTTTTTTCTTCCCTCTGTCTCCATGTGCTTGCTCATCGGGGGCTGTTTGATTGTTGGGGGTTTCTCTCTTTCATTGTAGGATCTTTACTGTACAATACAAGCAGCTTGAAGCAACTGCTGTTTTAATTTTGCACTATTAGTGAAGACATGATATTTGCTTCAGTGGAAATTAACTTTACACATTAATTACTGACATCGTAGTTTTACTGTGCCTGATAGAGAGAGCATCTGTTACATTGTATTAGTGAAAAAGCATTTTGACATACAGAAATGCAGACAGGTTTTGTTTCACCACTCTTCCTTTAAATAACAAAATCTGCTTTGAAACATTATGTGTGGCAAAGAGCTGTTATCACACTTAATAATTAACACTTCTTTCCCTATGAGCACAGTGTTTTATTAATTGACAAGTAACTCCCTGCATGGGGATTTCACCATTTTGTAATCTACACAGGTTGTTTGTGACTCATCCACTGCCAAGCCCAGTGATTCAAGCTTTTTTCCCCCTCCTCCTATCAGTAGCAAGAAAAGGTAAACACAAAAATCAGCAAACTCCTGTTTGTTTTTTCTGTAAATAACTAATACCTTTTAAAAGCAATTTCTCCCTTTCATTTTCCTGGTTGTCTCCGGCTTCCCTTCAGTGGCTCCCCAGTATAAAATCACTGAACTAGCCGAGAAGAAAGCAGAGGACTGATGACTGCTCAATGACAAATAAAGCACAGTCCAAACACTCATGCCCACGCAGTGTGAAACGGCACAGAGGGCAACAACCCTTTGAGAAGAATCACAGCAAAGCTACATGTGAACAGAGCTGTAAATGGTACTGGTTCATATGGGGAGGGTGGAGGGCAGGCCAGTATCAGTTAGAAAATACAACAGAAAGTGTTTCTGATTTTGACATATTTTTCATTTGGTTTGTGTCATACTTAATAAAACATTCTTATTATCAGGATGATACAAACATGCAGAAGTAACAAGTTCTTTGTGCAGCCATGTATTTTTTTTATTTAAGTCTAAATGGAAACAAATGCGATTTTGTTTCATAAAGAAACTTCTTCATCTGTTTTCTTCTTCTTCTTCCAGCTGCTTCATTTAAGGGTCACTGCAGTGGATTGTTTGCCTCCATCTCTCTCTTCTCCGTAATCTTCTTTCTTTTTCCACGTCAGCTCCATATTCAACATCCTTTGTCCAAAATATCCACTATCCCTCCTCTGCGCATGTCCAAACAATCTCTCTAAAGTCGTCTCCAAACTGCTGAACCTGAGCTGTCACTCTGATATATTCATTTCTAACCTTGTCCACATCAGTCTTAATAGGTGACCATCTCAGCTCGACAGCTCAGCCTCACATCTTTTTGTCAGAGCCAAGTCTCCAGTCTCCAAACCTTACATCATAGCAGGCCTCACAACCGTCTTGTAAACTTTCTTCGTCTGAAAAAATCAGACTTGTCAGTAAGGGCTGTATTGATGGAGTGAAATTGCTTTAAGTTCCACAACACTTTGTAGCTTCAGCTACAGGAGTTAAAAAAGCTGAGGTCATATAATCACACTTCACTGCGTATTTATTTTCTTTTTCTTGCACAAAGATAACAAAGTGAAGCCCAGTCAAATTCCTTGTTAGTTTGCACAAACTTATGATCCTGATGTCATTACAGTCTGTTGGTGTTACAACTATGTGTCTTCTAGCATCAAATCTTAATACTTCATATGTATGTAACATGAGGTTTTTCCAAAGATATAAAGAACAAAATAAGCACAGTAGACCATAATTTATAGAAACACTTTGACGAACCCTTGTATATTGAATACTGACCTCTGGTGGTCCCCAGAAAAGTAATATTAATATAACACATTTATGTAATCAATAAAATAAATAAATACACAAATAAACTTTACCAAATATATTTAAAAGGCACTGAAACACAGTCCTTCAGCGACTCCAGAATCTTTTCATTTTTTAATATCCTCCTGAGAACCAGCCTATTCATTTATTCTCTGTCTTCTGTAATGGACATTTGTTTTTGGTCTATATCTTTCAACTTATTTGAACTACCCTACTAAGTCCTGATGTACTAAATAGAGGACATCCCGGGCTTTCCATCGATAATTCATGTGTTTGGGCGGCCTCTTTCAACTCCAACGAGGAAGAAAATCACAAAGAAAGTTCATGGGAAGATTCTTTTTTCCTCGGTCCTCAGGAGGATATCTAAACAAGAATTTCAGAAATTTCAGGGAAAAATAGAAGATCTAATCTTTCAGTTTATCCAGAAAAATGAAAATATAACATTTGCATATGTATGGTTTTCATTGGCTATGAGCTGAAAAGTAAACGGGTAAAGCTGTGGAGTAAAAAGAGAAATATTTAGTTATGAGAGTAGTGAAGCAGATCTGTAAAGTTGAACAAAATGAAACAAACGTAAATTACAAGTACTATATACATATATATATGTATATACATACATACATATATATATGTATGTATATACATATATATATATATATATATATGTACATACATACATATATATATGTATGTATGTATATATATGTATGTATGTATATAGTACTTGTAATTTACGTTTGTTTCATTTTGTTCAACTTTACAGATCTGCTTCACTACTCTCATAACTAAATATTTGCACACTCTGCATTGGTGCACGGTTGTGGGAATAAAGAAAAAGAATACAAGTAAAATTTGTATAGGTGAGGTACAGTTTAAGTAAAAATACCACTAAATTTGGAGGAAAAATCAACTACATGTAAAATATCAGTGTCTGAATAACATCTTAAATAATACAGCTAATATAAATATATATTTCTACTGTTATTGGGAAAAACACTGATATTATTTGCAAATACTTAAACAACTTGAATCTCCCTCATGTAGAAACAGATTTATCTGCTAATACAGTTGTTTTTTTAATCTGATACTGAGGGTTTTCTAAGGAAACTACCTTTCACCTTTATCTGAGTCCAACAAGTCAAGATGATTGGCTCTCCCCAGATCAGTTCAGCTTAACATGAGCTCCATAAATAATGATAAGGAGCCCATCATAAAAAGGGGACAATGTACGCTATCTGGATGCAAAATCTGTTTTCTAAAATGGTTTAGATAGGCATTATTTGAAGACTGCACCCTGAATGCTACAGCTCTTTCTCTTTTCTTTTTATGCCATAAAAATCTAAGACTATTAAACTCACAACTGTCTGTGCTGTTGCTAATTAGTACAT